GGGCAGGGTTCCCTACATTTGGTCAATACTCCAGTGCGAGTTCAACACTATATATATATGTGTGTATTATATTTATATATTATATATAAATATAATATTATAGATACTTATATGTGTGTACCTCATTGATATATAATGATATATACATCATTGACTGGTTCTATTTTGCTTCAGCCTTGGATCTGGACCACCAGCACTGCAGGGTCCGTTTCGATGCCTGTGTAAAGGTATTCTCCTGTCGGCCGTGTCATGCAGAAACCCCGAAAAGCTTGCTATTCCCTTCCGAGCTCCTTGTCGTTCCCGCGCTTCCTGAACTTGCAGGATGGTTCCGGTCAAGCCCTAGGCAATGGGTGAAGCTACACCCACTGTGAGGTAAATAACAAACACAATAGCACGCAAGACTCAAGACCATGACAACAAAACTCGACTTGAAGAATCGCACAGTGTCAATCACTTTCACAGCAATCGAACCAAGCACTGTAAAATCGAACTAAGTTACGATTGCTCCAAGCAGAGTCTAAGTCTAGGCTTGCGACAAGCGCGAGAATCTCCAGCAGTCTGAGCAATGCAGGTACAAGGTACATACTTGCAGAAAAACATGCAAGCGCATGGTCATCGGGTCATCAAGAGTCATCAATATTTGCTCTCTCAGCCAAGTCTCTCTGACTCTCCTTCTCTATCCTTCTCTCCTGTCCCACACTCCTGAGACTCCGACAACTGAGCTGAGTGCACCTGAGGTCAGTGCATCAGACGAGTGCAAGGCTTCGTAGCGATGCCCTGGTTACTAGTAGCTTCTTGCTAATGAATAGATCTCAAAACCACTTGAACTCTCTTCTTCTCACGGTCATCTAGTCCTTCCTTTGGCACCTCGTCAAAAAGGCCCACGTGGCGCATGGCCGCCTGACAGGTCAAATGGCCGTTTGAACTGTCGGACGAGTTAAGACCCTCTCCTCAATCCTGCCCAAGCGTGCATGGCTGTGGCAGAGCTCCTCCAGTGCCCAAAAAGGTTCAAAAGCACTGACATTTCAACCACTCTCTGCCAGCAGAACTTGCAAAGCCCACGCAGTCCCGGATGGCTGTCGAAGCAACATCCCAAGGCTTGAGCTCCTTGGCACATGGGGTTCTTGGCCAAAAAAGAAACACGAACATTCAAAGCGATGCACTTGGGGCTTTTCGTCTGCGAGGGAGGAATCTGCCTCACCGTCCTCAGGCTCCAACTTCCAAAAGTTCTTCAGCGCAACTGATGCCCGCTGCACCCATACCCACCAAGCTGTACATGGCCTGCGAACGACCACTCACGGTCGTCTGCTTCAGCCTTGGCTTCAGAACCATACGTCCATCGAAACAACAATGACTAGTGGCTGCCCAGCATGGTGCTCTCAGTTGTTAACCCAAACCTCATCAGCTCCTGGCAGAGCACGGAAGCTGCCGAGCATCAAGGCAAAATCACAAGATAGCAGTTATGGCCCGAAAGGTAAGGGTACCACCGAGATCAACTGGCAAAAAAAGAACAGAATCAGGTAAAATGTAAAACTCCTTTTGGGAGATCAATGGCAGGCGAGTATATCCCTCTCTGAAGCACCGAGCCTTCGGCTCATTTTGGGCGCGCAGCTTTGCCATCTGGGTGGCATCCTTTCCTTCCAACAACTCAGCTGCATCCTGGTGGAGGCCATCGCAAGTAGGTTGGAGGCCATTACTCCTAGTGACAAGAAGCTACTAGGGGCTCCTGGCATCGCTACTAGGAGCAAGAATGCTACTAGGGGCTCCTGACCTTACTACTAGTAACAGCGCTGCATCCTGGCACTCGGAAGTTTTTCTTTTGATGTGGGACGGTCAAAGCTGAGACGGAAGGCAACCAGTCAAGGTGCACATCGCAGTATCACAAATAGCAACATACAGCTTTCACATTGGAAGTAGAAGGCATGTTTGTTTACATATAATTTTTTACATGTATTATTTGTTACCTCTTGTTTAAAAGAAAGGTCCCCAACACTTGGCAACAAGAGCACCTCCCGCCGCCGCAGCAAGCCGCGCCCCAGGGTCACCTCTGGAGCATGAGGGATGGAAGGGTCTGCAACTTCACAGGCATTCTGTGGCAAGTCTTCATTCGTGTATTTTTGTTTATGTTATTTTTCTTCAAGGCCGGCGGGGTAGGCCGCGGGTAGAGGAGAAGAGGTAGCTATAGTAGCTGAGCAGGAAGCTTCTAGACATGGACGCAGGATAGCTCACGCACTAATGATCAGTTCCTAGATTTTTAGGGAAACTTAGAATTTATAATTGTGTATGTAAGTTTCAGGCTATTGTGCTTTTGCCGTTCGTCAGCGCGATCTTTGCCTGCACTCAGTAGCCCTTCAATTATTAAAAGAAAAAGCAGCAACGTAGCAAATGTCATCGTGGCCTGTGAAACATCCTCTTCGGTGCCCACATTCATCACGACTCCTTGCACCTTGACTCTGATCACCAATTGTTGACATGACACGACACTGCGGCGATGAGACTGCACAAAGAAAGTCGCAAACCGTGCCATGCTCTTGTCCAAGCTGCTTGCAAGTCACTTTCTAAGTCACACTCCAAATTTGGACCCTTACCGGCTTGACTCAATCCTTGAGGCCAACTTGAGGCCTGTGCCCAGCTCTCGGCCGACGATCTGTATTTTTGCCAAAAAACTTCCACCTCATCCAGGGTCTGAAGGAGAGGCTAAGTGGCTACAGCAACAGCCAACTTTTGCAATTTTGCTCTCAAATTCTCTGCCTAGCTGCCTCATGCCCCACAAGCAACGGGCCAAAGGCTTCGCTTTCGTCATCCGTGACCCAAGCTGCGAACAGGGAAGACGCAGTGTTGCTAAGAAATCAACAAACCTCGACCCACTCCCAAGGTCCTTTGTGGCCATGCTGCAACCCATGAGCGTGCATTTGTCTCCCTTCTTTTGTTGAAGCTGCTGCCTTGCCAACTCTCTCGTTTTGGCTTCCATTTGACCTTTGTCGCCTAGACAGGGATGAGAAGAACAAGCGGCTGTTCTTCACACGCTTTGAAAAGAAAAGAGGAAAGAGCCTTGCTTGAAACCAGGGTATCTTGAAATGCTTCAAAATCAAAAACATGTGAAACTCAAATGGTTGACTTGTCATTCTTCTCCTGCTCCTTCTTCAATGGCTTTGGACGCAGGGCTAGGCCATCTCCTCGAACCTTAAAGCAGAACCACCTGGTAACCAGTGGACGGCTTCACACTGAAGGTAAACCAAGTGCTCCTGTGCATCAGCTCAACTTGTCAACACAAACCGAGCATGACAAATGCACAGCCAAGTGTGCCACGTCGAAACCCATGCCACCCCATTTTCTCTGAGCCTCGAAACTTGCATTCCATCAGCGAAACTCGAGCCGAATGGCCCACATGGTGTCTTTTTTTGTGTCCAGCAAATTCCCTTCGCACAACCGAACATGGCATCAGCCCCTCACAGCGGTAGGCTTCGCCAGGCGCTTGGCCTGCCATCGCGGCTTGCTTGTGGCCTGCCAGGCTAAAAGGAATCTCAGCGCTGATGTGAACACGGTTATCGAAACCTGCCTCTTCCGCGACTTCCACCGCCTCATCAACCATCATTCCACTTGCTGCCATGCAATAGGACATGTCAACTAATTCAGAAGCACAAGCAAAACAGGCCTGCTTTGCAGCACGACGTCCAGGCCTAGCAGAGAAGTTTTCCAGCCATCATTTCTGTCCATCCAGCTTCTGACATTTATGCACACCATTGGCTCTCTCTCTCTCTCTCTCGGCTTCAAGGAACAACCCTTTCTTGATCCCAGATTTGGATCATGGTTGGTAGCACGTGGTTCCAGGGAATGTTTTTGCTTTTTGTCTCCATCCTGGGGAGTCTGCAGGGCCGGACAGTCTGCTTTGTGTTCAAGAGACAGCCGCATTCAGACGGAGAAGCAGGAGGGCGGGTCCCTTCTGGAAGTGCAATCCACAAGACCAACCCATTGGTAGAGCAAGACGCATCCTTCCAGTAGTGGCACTAAGTGTAGGGATTTCAGACGTGGCATGGGCTGAGGATCTTGAAGCTCAAATACATGACATATGTGGGCTCCGAGCACTTCGAGGCCGTCCTCTCATGGAGGCCAGGATTCTTGGGCAATGTGGGCGCTCCTAGTAGCGTCCTTGCCCCTAGTAGCCAGGCCAGGAGCCCCTAGTAGCGTCCTTGCTTCTAGTAGTACGGCCAGGAGCCCCTAGTAGCTTCTTGTTCCTTAATTACTGTGCTGTTGTGGTTGGACATCATTTGGATTGTAAGTGTGAGCCCAATACCTCATACCTCCATTGTCCTGCTCAAGCTACAGACTCCCGACAACCACCGATCACACCGCCTACATCTCCGCTGGCGCCCAAGATGAAGTGCCGGGATCAGACCCAAAAAGGCCACCAGCCTCAGCTCCATTGAAGAGCGGTGTTCAAAGTGTTTGACAAAGTAGTTTCATGTCCACAACCAGGACCACTTCCAGGCTTGGAGTTCTGGTCTAGGCTGCGTGCCTGGTCTTTTCTCCTCAGCAATCAAGATTTGGATTAACGGATTGACTCTTTAAGGCCCTCACAAAAGAGCGAAAGCAAAGTGCCCTCCAGCAGCGCACTCAGTCAGGTGCTTCCAATTGGAATCGGTGTCCACACGCTTGCAGAGGCAGCATGCTCCCTCAGCACCTTTTGTGCTTCAGCTCCAAATGGGCGAAACAAATATGTCTCAAACAAGGGACAGAACATGATAGAACCGTGTTAGACACCCAAAATAGAACAATTTCGGCAACTTGGACATGCATCGGCTTGATTCTCTAAATCTCGGCAATCCTTCGTAAGGCGTGTGCCGCAGCAGGATGTCCATTGAGCGTGGAGGGAACTTCCATGGTTTGCACTACAAATGAACAGTTACGTAGACTTTGTGTAGCTCTGTGATTCCAAAGTGAGTGCCCATCTGCATTTATCAAAAAAAAACTGTGATTGTGGAATTGTGGTCGAATCAAACATCACATGAAAGGTTTGCCTGTACTCGCTCGGTCTAAAGCTTGTGGCAGCGAAATTGCACCCTGTGGATCGTCTGTGCTAGTAGCTTCTTGCTCCTTGTAGCGATGGTCTCCAACCTACTTGCGATGGCCTCCACCTAATAGCGTCCTTGCTACTAGTAGCTTCTTGTTACTATAGTAGTAAGAATGCTCCTAGTAGCGATGCCAGGAGCCCCTAGTAGCGTCCTTGCTCCTAGTAGTAAGGCCAGGAGCCCCTAGTAGCCTCTTGTTACAGGTGAAACGCCCAGTGAAACGATTTGATCCAACAGCTCGGAAAGTTGTCTTCTGGTTTTTCCCAACTCGCCGTCGACAGCTCGAGAGCCCTTTATTCTAGGGCTCCTTCGCCTCTTTAAGCAACTTATGGTGATCAGAATCTGTGCACTCAAGAAGCACTAAAACGAGGAAAAAAAGAATCTACAGGCTACCTCTGCAAGTCTAAGTCGCTTGCCAGTCACCTGCGACTCTTTGCTGCGTGAAAACTTGGAGACAAATTTGCCCCAGACTAAGATAGGTCGAACTGGCTCTACGGCTGCCCTGAGGGCCTTCGCCTGAAGAGCTTGCAGATCCCAGCACAGCAGCCGCTCTGAGGTTTTGTGTCATCTTTCTCTGCCAACTGCTCGATGGCGGCAGCAGCAGCTTTTGCCCCGTCCTGGTCGAGGTGACAAGGATGCACAATGGTGAACTTGTATCACAAACATCCTACTTAGGGAGCTTTGACCTGGTTCCAACAATAGTCCATCCATGTCCATCGAACCCTTGCCATGCAATAGCAAAACAAAGTTCCGGCAAAAACACAGGGTGTTCAGGTCTTTGAGTTGTCATAATCCCCAACCCCCCTGTTGATAAAGCAAATGCACCAAATTCGTTCCATGCATTGCTTTCCTACCAGAATACAGGGTCCCGCCCCACACGCTGTGTGGCACATCTTGTCCTCCTGCTTGACCTTGGCCGCTGCTGCATCACAGGTGCCTTTGCAGGCCAAGGCCTTCTGCAAGGCCTCTTCACACTCCTCCCAAACAGCCAAACCCGCGGCACAACGAAGGAACGAGGAAGCTCTGGACATGTGAGGACAAGCTGATCTAGAAGCAAGATGAAGCAAGGTCATACCCTGCTTTCGTTCCAGTCTGGCAACCAAAAGCCCTCAATCCCACGCCGTGTAACAGGTGGCCCAGCACCACGTGCAGCATGAGAAAGGAAAGTCATTCCCCCCGCGTTCTGTTCGATTCCCCACCCAAACGTGATGCACCTTCAACCTTCTGGAACTCGAATTAGTACAGCGACTGGTTTCGGCAGATGCTAATTGGGCAGCGCATGTTCAAGCTAGAAAAAAGAGTGTCAAAACGCTAGAAAATTCGGATGCTTCCAGAGTTGGAGTGAAGCAAGAAGTTGCAGACTCTTCTCGAATCCCAAGTGAATTAAGTCGGCTCTGTCGGATCTTTGTCTCCTGAATGGTTGGCTCCAAAGGCCGCAAAAAGGCACCAAAGCCTTTCCGCTCCGCCCACTGCGCATGCAGCATCTGGTCGGCAATGATGGGCGTAATCACCGGGCAAATAACGACAGGCACACCTGATTTCTGGCAAAGGCACTTGTTTCTAATAGCTTCTTGTTACTACTAGTAAGGCACTTGTTACTACTAGTAAGGCACTTGTTACTCCTCTTATGGCACTTGTTGCTACTAGTAAGGCACTTGTTGCTACTACTAGCAAGGCACTTGTTACTACTAGTAAGGCACTTGTTACTACTAGTAAGGCACTTGTTACTACTAGTTAAGGCACTTGTTACTACTAGTTAAGGTGTTACTACTAGTAAGGCACCTGCTACTACTAGTAAGGCACCTGTTACTACTAGTAAGGCACCTGTTACTACTAGTAAGGCACCTGTTACTACTAGTAAGGCACCTGTTACTACTAGTAAGGCACCTGTTACTACTAGTAAGGCATCTGTTACTACTAGTAGGGCACCTGTTACTACTAGTAAGGCACGTGTTACTACTAGTAAGACACTTGTTACTACTAGTAAGGCACGTGTTACTACTAGTAAGGCACTTGTTACTACTAGTAAGGCACTTGTTA